ATAAAAAATATATATTAGTAACATACGTGAAACAGTTCACAGTTTCATTTAAGTATAAGGTAATTATATACTACGAAAATTCTAGCGGTCTCTACTGCAAACTTATGCAGCCTTAACTGTTTGCGCTATAAATCTGTATTTAAATAGTGTCTAGCGTTTAACTGCGAGGCGTCGCATAATTTGCACAGATTATGTGACGCGGTATGAGAAACTGTCATTGCTAGTACCATATCTCTGTGCAATTTAGGTAACCAGTTAAAGGTGCGGTCACACTGAGCGATTTTCAGTATCCCACATATCCTATACATAAAAATGATATTCCTTTGTAATTTATAGGAAGTTATACTCATGGAGGCTGACCCGACCCACTAACCTATTTAGAGGTAAAGTCATAGGCTTGCATAATTTTTACTTCCAGATGAACAAATGAATTGCAAATCAATTTATAACGTGGCAGAAAATTCCGGGAAAAACGCATGGTGGTCGACTGTCAACCATTAAGGTGGTATCGATGGTATTTTTCAGTTTGTTTCGTTGGACGGTTGTGAAATTCAAGAACTGCTGAGTACCACACATGGTATTAGGCCGAACAATTCCTCAGAGAACTCCCGAAACGTAATTAAAGCGTAATATGTAATAATTATTATAGCTTTGGTCAAATTATCAAAAGTAGTTTTGCTCGGAATGCTTCGTACGCTTTTAGAGTATAAAGGATGCAAAAGAACAGCATTATTACTATCTGAATAAAAAAAAATTATCTATTTTATTTATAGTTACAAAAAATTGGGATGTGAAGTTATTCTTACAGCAAATAGGATATACAAACAAGAGACTACTATACCCGTTTTCATAATCGATCCCTAACTTTAAGGGACACCTAATCAAATTTAAGTGCTCGTTTAATTTTCATCACCACTTAAGTGTCACCTAAAGTCTTAACTAGCACTTAAACCTTTTCAGGTGTCCCTTAAAGTAGGTATCAATGGTGAAAACGGGCGCTACCGGCAAGAGTAGGTAATAGGCAAATCACACACGTCGATCCAAAAAAAGTGGTATATTGCGAGCTATTAAACGTAGCGGTTTCCAGAAAAGTCGCTAACTGACGTGTCGAAGGCGAAAGAGTCGAGTGAAATCGCGAGAACAATGCGCCGCGCGTTCCCACACGGTGGCGCCCCCGCCCGCCTTCTGGGAAACTCGGGTGTCGAGTGCGCCGGCGCCGGTGAGGGCTTTCCTTTTAAATTCCGAATCGCCAGTTTGTTGTGTCGGCTGGCGTTTAGCTGATAACGGGTCCGGGAGGGCGTGCCTCAAGATGATGATAGAGCAGTAGTTTTCACCATGGTAGAGCCAAGGTACGAGCATTGTAGCTTGGCTAAACCAATCGACGTAAGCTAGAAGTGTTAAAACACGGGCCGAAGATAAGCCAGCGTCAATATGAAACTTAAGGAGTAGTTTTCACTGTCGTAACCAACGTAAAGAAGCATTTAAACTTAAGCAAGTAGCAATAGGCCCACTCTCTGTGGTAGGCAACACGCCTGTAATACGTCTTGTGTTGTGTGACGCGACAGTCCATGTTTGTCATCAGTAAAGAAGTATTTGTACCTTTGTAATTCCTCTTCTTTATGCTCACCAGGTACACTCCCTTAAAGATTGACAGAGCAAGCGCGGATGCATATGGATGTAATGGATGTCCACGGGGTATTATTACCATACAAAAACAACCGTCTCCACATAGATGTCCCACTGTGGAAGAGTACCAGAGGTACAGAAATTTGCCGGTTCGACTTAGCTATCTATGATTTTTTAAACCTCTATCTAACGAACATATGAAGTTCACCTCGCGGTGTTAATTCTCCGTCGAGTACGTGGAAAATCAAAACCAATTAAATATAACACTTACTGGCTCAAAAACAACAAGAGTTATGAGAATCCTGCGGTATATTGAGAGCAGCAGGATTAGTTTTAGATAGCGTATTATTGGAATTCCTTTTCACCCATACTCAGGCTACTGCAGAGTGTATTCAAATATCTTCATGTATGTGATACAAGATCAAAATTAGACCACGTTGGTATATGCTCGGTTTTCCAAAAAAAAATTAAACTAAAGAGGTTAAACGAAATTTGATAAGAAACAGCTTTCACCACAGTAAACATGCCGTTCCAGAAAAGTATAAATTAAATACATTCAACAATCTTATTGCGGTAGAGCCACGCAACGGTCTTAGCTGTTGCATGAATGGGCAGGTCCGTCCAGGAAGTACCAAGAACTCGCAGAAGTCTGGGGTGAAATGGACGTGTATATTTCTGCATTTTGTCTGATGAGTTTATTAAATCAACCGCCCACCACAACCCACTTTATTAAAAGGTGGCAACGCATCTGCAGCCCTACAGGTGTTAACAATACCCCTCCGATAAAGTACGGAAAATGAACAAAAAAGTATTTAAATATAATATTAACATATCTTTTCAACAAAAGAAATTTTCAATATATTTTAACTTTAATTAAAAAGTTCTCAGACAAAAGTTTTTCCAACAAAAACATCGATTTAAAACAATTTGGTTACTTTTATTCAATAGCCGAAAATATCAGCTTAAATTGATATCCGAATAATTAAATTTGATAATATCTAAAAGCATTTATTTGGGCTAAGTACAAGTGATTTGCTAGGAATCAATGATAGATTTAAAGGCGCTACAACTCATTCGTGTGTGGCGCAAACGGTTGAGAGCGTTGAAATGCGATATCTCTTATCGCGTGTGCAAGCCCTAGTATCGCAGTGGGTCAATAAATATAGATAATAGTGATAATTATGAGCAAATTTACCACCTAGGTGAGTCTCGCGGAACTCTCCCGTTGCAGCCGGTGTCGATTGATTAGCCGTAAAGTTAGGTCGCATACACACTCGTGCGTTCGCAGCGAAACCAATTTATGATAATTTGAATCGCTATGTCAAGCGAAATGTTTTGATTTAATTAAACATAAATATTGCTTGGATAAATTTAGTAACAGGAAGGTTAACTGTTAAATAATTAAAAATAACGTTTATATTAACAAATAACAAAAGACTTCAAATATGTTTATCTATAAATACTCACATTCTCTATTTGATTTTGAGCTGTTAACAGCTCGATGTATCTTCGGAGTTCGAATTAAAGTCGGTTCATAACTGACATAGTTAGTGACTTACACCTGAGGTAACAAAAATACAATCGAACTGAAAACCTACCTTTGTAAAGTCGGTTGAAAATACGCTATTTGTAAGGCAAAACCTTATTCTTAATTATTCGGAAATCTGCAGGTTGAAAAATAATTAATAAATTCGAAATTCGTGAACACGACATAAATAAAAAAAATTAAGTGAATCGTAGAATTGTGAATCTTAACCATTCTCGAGTCGACCTGAAGACAAACAAAAAAATTCATTAAAATCGGTCCAGCCGTTTCGGAGGAGTTCAGTGACATACCGTGTGTATACAGAAGAATTATGTATATAAAGAAGATATGTATGTATTTAACTAATAGATTACTGGCGTAGGACCACGAAGTGAATGAGCGCCCATGGAAGTACCACGGCCTCATATAGAACCAGCGTGGCATGTTTCTTATGGCAAATTATGTAATTTCAATTTATTGGTAGTGTCAATGTTAAATAATAAATTCCTTACTCAAGTTTTTAATTACATACAAAAATAATAAGAAACGACCTGAAGAGAAATGAGAGTGCATATTTTCATTACAATAAACTGCCATCGCACTCTCAGCTACTAAACTTCGAACTTACGGATCTTACCTTACAGCCGCACGATATTGCCCATTCGCCGGGTTCCGTGCAAACCGTCAACCGATACGGCATTAGCGCCGTTCGGCTTACCGATCGAGCCGATCGTTACGCACTAGTAAGTGCACACCTTTAGCGTGTTCCACCGCAGCCCAGGTCGTCTTACGTCGCTTCCTGATATCGTTATGTTCACGCTAAGTCGCGGTATTAAGCAAAACGACACCGGCCGGCTGGATTTTTCGAATTGCTCGCGGACTCCCCAGGTTACCGTCGCCAGCCCGGAACTCTCCATAAGCGGGCGCGAAGGTTTGCACCAGCATTTGGCTTCATTAAAGCTGCATCTAGTTAGTAGCTGCTCGTTACGGTCGACTGGAATATTTATTTCATTTCATTTTAATGTATAAGAGCCGTGATAGCTCAGTGTCCTGGCGCTTGCCTTTAATTCAGTACACTCTAGCTATCCGTCCGCCAATCCGCAGTGGGGCCGCGTGTCTATGCCCTGATACCCTCTGTATAGAGGAGTCCTTTGCCCAGCAGTGGGACATGTATAGGCTGTTACTTTACTTTACTTTTACTCGAGCTAACTGAGTTCGATACCCGGTGCCGGCAACAATGAAATTGTGAATTTTAAGTGCTGAATTATCACGTGCTCAGCGGTGAAGGAAAACATCGTGAGGAAACCTGCATATTTTAGAAATAACAATTTAAAAAAATATTTCGAAGATATGTGAAGTTCGCCAATCCGCAGTGGGGTCGCGTGGTGGACTTTGCCCAGCAGTGGGTCATGTATGAGACATTTATAGACATCTTTATTTAAAGTATAATGCAATTAATGATGTAATTTATCTCTACAAAAGTTTTTCCCAAACGACTTACAATCTTGGCGATGACGTAATTTTTCTTCCGGATAATAATTGTATTACGGAAATTTAAAGTTTTAAATATTTTTGTGCAATAATTTTACTTTGAATTGTTTTTCTTCAAGAATTCGTTTCCTTTAGTAAACTTGACATAGTAATAATCTGGAAGAACATAAAACTTTATGACGTGAATCGATTTTATTTATAATTTCAGATATTGACCAGTTCAATTTATTACGAACACGTGGCTAACAAGCACACTCAGCGACGCCCTTTAGCCTGTAATTAAATTAATTAGCTTATTAATTCTTTAGCCGTGCAAGAGTTTGAAAGCAACCGTTCTTATTAATCTTTTCTTCCACAGTATGATGGACTCTGGGGGAGCGGGCATCGCGGAATCGCCACCTACTTACCACCGCACCTACGAGCAATACGTTCAGGGGGCGGTCGAGAACAGCACGGACTCAACCCAGGACCAGGCCAGTCCAGAGCTGGTGGTCTGGTCCACGCTGCCCTACGGACTGGACTACAGAACGCAGTACGACTACAGGAGCCCCTATGACACCACCCGGGATTACACCACTCAGCAGTACGCGCGGGCACCGTTCACCACCAAGATGGGGCAAGCGAAGGCGTTGAAGGAGGCCAGGATAAGGAGGCCCATGAACGCGTTCATGGTGTGGGCGAAGGTGGAGCGGAAGAAGCTGGCCGACGAGAATCCAGATCTACATAACGCTGACCTGAGTAAAATGCTAGGTAAGCAAACATATTATATTCGGTTATTATTAGCTTGTTTACAATGAATGAAGAAATTATTTCAGGTGCTTAAAAAATAATACGATCCTTATTTACACGGCTTACACTCGCCTACTCATAACATCCAGAAGATTTAACTTAAAAAATAGAATTTTCAGAACGAAATTTTTAGATTTTATCTAGTGCCTTTATATTCATTTTAGGTTTATTAAAAGGGAAATACTTTAGACACTTCAAAATACTACATACTACAACAAAATACTACATGATCACGAATTCCTCATAATAATTATATTGATTCTTATTTTTATGGTGTATAGTTAGATACGTCAATTTTAGAAGAGTTTACTTTACACTAGCTTAACTCGAATGCTGTCTGTTTGTTCCGGCTAATCTCTGAAACTGCAGGACCGATTTTGACGCTACTTTCACTGGCAGATAGCTGATGTTATAAGGAGTAACTTAGGATACTTTTATTTTATAAGGTTTATTTATTTTAAATTGCACGCAGACGAAGTCGCGGGGCACAGCTAGTATGAAATAAAAAATCGATTCCGATAAATGATCATTAACATCACAGCGAGGTAATCATTCCTTGATAAATGCTACATAAATTTATAAATATTCACTAAGAGAATCGAATGATTCAGCAATCTCGTAGCCTACGATTTGAAATTCAAATGAGTTACATAACATATTTGTAAAAGTTTACCCTTAGAAAAAATGGTTTGTTCAATCACCTGTAGTCATTTGAACAGATTATACTTAACTAAGACAGCGTCTCGGCTTGATAAATTTTCAAGTTTATTAAGGGAGCCGTGATAGCCCAGTATCATATTCAGGTATTTGAGCAAACTGAATTCAATTCACGTTCACGGTCCCAAAAAATCAGTGAAGGAAACATGGGTCAAAACGGCGTAGTTTTGAAATAACAAATTATTTCTTTTTAATATACAATGTAAAAACAGAATCTACGGTGGCTCGACGTAGTGGACTTTGCCCTTATATGTACAGTGGGGGCTTTGCCCAGCAGAGTCATTTTTTCTAGGGTAATTTTGATTCTATTGCAACAATCTGTCTAGTAATTATGTCCTGTGAACGTGAATTCTGTAAAGTGTTTGTAACGTCAAATTCATCATTATCAAAGGCGTCTTACTTAGAACGCCACAGGTTTCCAACTAAACGTCAAATTAAAAGTATTAAGAATACAATTTTAAACGTATTACATTATTCGCATAAAGCCAAGAAATCATTAAGCAAAAATAAATTTTGCTCGCTAAAATTTATTTTATTATGAACAGGTGAAGACCGCGGTCTTTGGTGGTAAACTGTACTATAGATGTCCCAACCCTTGCCAAGGCCTCCTCTGTCGAGATGGTATGAGTACATAGTCCACCACGCGACCGCATTGCGGATTGGCGGACGTCTATATTATCGAAATATTTTTGTGTCATTATTTCGAAAATATGCACGTTCCGTCACGATGTTTTCCTTCACCGCTGAGTAAGTGATAAGTTAGCACTCAAAATGAACAATTACATTGGTGCCGGTACCGGGGATCGAACTCGGGTCGCTCGAGTATGTTGAAGTAAAAGTATTGAAGCTATCGCCGAACATACAGTACAGTATTCCGAAATACGCGAACACCGGTCGTATCGCAATTAATATGAACGGGTTTCGTTTTCGTACCACGTCGGAACATCCCGCCCGTACACGTCGGGAGCGCGATTAACCGCAGCGCGCTCATTAGCCGCTCCGCAACGGCGCGAGAAAAACGAAACCGCTCCACGAAATAGGTGAAACGCATCGAAAAAACGGTACGCGGCGTAATTCCTTATTAGCATCGATAATTCAGTATTACATTCCGAAGGCTAAAAAGGACGGGGCGACATCCGTCCGAGTTTGCTAACAACTTAATTAAGCCCCGGGCACGCCGCATCGACCGGTGGCGTTCACGGTTTCCAAACCCGTACTGAGCGTCCACCATTGTCCGTATAAATAGTTTAATTAGCTGTTTAATTGTTATTTGAGCACGTCAATCATTATTTTTGTAGCGCGATACGCTTCAAATTTTTAACAATGGACGAACAGAGCAATTAGCAATCAATAAGATGTAATGCCCGTTTTTTAGAGATTAACGCGTGATTGTCGCCACCGTGATCTAAAAACTTTGATATTGATAAAAAATTTGCTTGAAATGTCACATGATGTGTATCATGTGACATTTCAAGCAAATTTTTTACAACAATAAAACACAGATCATTGTCTGCGTTTAAATAGAACGATTTTACGGATTTAAACGCTTTTCATTTTATTTTTAATTTTCTGACGTTCCAAGCGCCTTTGAGGTTTCATGGTCACGTTTTACGTTGATTTTTTTATAACTTAATATTTTACGACCTACGCGAAAAGAGCTCATAGTATCTTGAACTATTGCGAGTGAACGATTTGTGAGAGGATCCCATCTTACCATCAGCTAATCCAACCATGTTCTCTTCTATTTCTATATTGGATTACTGTGGTAGGATCACGCAAAATCTACTCTGCACGAATATGTAGAGTAAGTACCATGACCTCACAGGAGACCTGCATGATTTTGATCGGTCAGTGAGTTATCCGGGGCCCACATTTTTAATAGTTGGCAACGCATTTGTCTCCCGTAGATGTTCATGGAAGGCGGTCATCGCATATCAGAACCCATAAAAATAATAATAATAAGTGACCGCCCCGTTCTCCACCGCATTGCAACGGTTCAAAAGGTAATTTGATTCTCATATACTTTATAAGGTGACCTTTGACGCAACTGTTCGGTCTTAGAGAGATAAACCCGGATTTCGTATCACATTTAGAGAGGCTATACACAATGCTATCTTACAGAGTCGATGCTAAAGTTTAATCACTTTATACAAATTAATTTCTTACAAAATATATCATCAGCCCTTACCCCAACCACATAGGTGGGGTCGGCACAACATGTGAATTATGTTGTGAGCTGTTGGCTATGTATTACGGCCGCCTGCCTGACGTCAACCCTCCTTGGGAAACAAACACTCCTTGAGAAAAATAATCTGTGGGTCACCCAAATACCTGTTCCCGTGTGGGAATCGAACCCACGACCCCCGACGCTTAGCATCGGCGCTACCGAGTCATAATCATTATTACAACACATGTCTTTATAATTATATTATAAGAAATTAGTTATGCATAATATCGCCGCTAAGCGGGCCTCACCGTCTCGATACCCGACGCCCAGTCGGCCCATTGTGCAAGTACAGAGAGAGTACAGAGGCAAGTACATCTTGAGCACTGAGCTCGTTATAATTACTCCAGCCTCTGTCAACTTTCACCGAGACGCGACAGTTGGGCCGCGAACTAGGCGGCGCGTGGTAGAGTCGCGGTACTGTCGCGAGTAGAAGTGTGGAATGTTCATATTCACTGGCTTATTTTCAACCGATTTCAAAGAAGGAGGAGCGCTATTCTATTGTGTTTTTTAGGATTCCGTAACCAAAGGTTAAAACGAGACCCTATTACTAAGACTGTGTCACGCTCTCTGTGTTTGTCCGTCTGTAGGCTGTGTCTCATGATCCATGATATTATAGTTAGCTAAATATAGTTAGATAATTAAAAACTAAAAATATGGCACACAAATTACTTCACAAAGGCCATACCAAATAGAATAATAAGATATTTTATCATCAACTTTAACATAATATAAACTAACCTACACAGATTAGAAATAAAAATCAGGGTTATGTCATGTTACAATTTGATCTATGTTTAAATTTATTAACTAATCTCAACTTGATTAGTTGAGGTAACTCGATGGAGTAACCAATGTAGCCGATAAATACACGTGAATTATCGTCGCCCATATTTAGCAGTGAAATCAAAAGGCTGAAAAGATAATGATAACGATTATTCTTAACTACTGCATTCATAGTGCATTGCATATATAGTATTAGTAGGCGCTAATTGAGTAGCAGCGCTGAGCTTTCCTCACCTTATTTGATCTATTCGGTCTTTGACGTATAATCTTATAGATCTCGATTCAGTGGTGACCCATTGATGTTAATGACTGACAGTGAACAATAAACACTTTTCGACGCAACTGTAACGAGCACAGAGGTTAGATATGGCAAGTCATTATGGCGCTCGGCGTGGGTGGCTCGATGCTATCGCGCTTAATGAAATAAAACTCGAAAAAAAAAGGGGCCTCTATGTGCCCGAAAATACGGAGCCGACGACTGTACCGTTACAATTTATGAAATTAAAAAATGCGTGAACCGACGTACATAAAGTCGATTTTCGCGCGGACGAAACGCAAGATTACCTTTGTCCCAATTCGAACGTTACTCATGGGTCGCCAATGAGTAATGGCGTTCGGTTCTTTCGGTCAAAATATGGGATTACCAATGGTATTACCACGGATTACGTCGAACGAGAAATCCACGGGTCTTGCCGTTCAACGAATAACGAATGTCGAAAAGTTAAAATTAATGTCCGTTTTCACCACCAATCGCTAAGTTTAAGGGACACCTAAAAAAAATTAAGTTCAAGTTTCGTTTTCAACACTGCCTAAGTGTCTCTTAATATCTTAAGCGTGACACTTAAGCGGTGGTGAAAACGAAACTAGCATTTAAATTTTTTTCGGTGGTCCTTAAAGTTAGGGATCGATGGTGAAAATGGGCATAAGCCTTCTGAAAATTTTTCTTTGTTTTAATCACGGTCTTACATACAGGCCATTGTGTTTAGTTCTTGTAGTTGTGTTACGACTTGAACAGTTATCGCGTCCAGTTGCTGGCATCTCTGTCATCGAGGGATACCCGGTGTTACAATGACGATAGTCGTAACATACGAGTAAACCATTTATTATTCACAACTCATTAATAACACGGCTCAGAAATTACACTCCGAAAATGTGAGCGAAACGAACACGAAATATTACATGTTATACGGTTTATTAAATGTAGGTAATGTTGACGCATTCGCAGGGTACGGAGAAGAGACTCGCATTGTGGAAATATCCTTCACTATAGATTATGCTTAGATGCAAGATTCGTACGTATGATGGTTTTAATATTTTCATGAATCAAAAGATCTTTAATTGTCTTTCTATTGTCAGAAATAATTATTTCTTTGAAACGATAAAATAAAAAAACTGGATATATTTTCACACGTTAATTTACAGTTATATTATAGTATTTTCATTTAACGTAAAATTTAACTGGCGATTTAATATAAAGGAACTAGGGTGGAGACATTAAAAATAAGGATCCAAACTCATTTACGATGATGAAATTAATGCTTAATATTTAAATCTTGTATATACAGGAAACCGCAAGCTGGACCGCACCGCACGATTTTTTGTCAACTCGCCGCAAAATGTGTAAATAGAGCAGACACTGTAAGGGTTTTCCCCAGATTATCAGCTCCAGTATGACGTATACTTTATTCATAAGTTGAAACGGGGAATCCAAATTAAATGTCAGTCTGTGATCTCGAAATAAATCCTTTTTTCTAAGATTTTTGCGTTATCTTGTATCTTGAATACTGTTTGGCAAATTCGACATAATTCGTTATGGAGATGTTCGCTTATTATTCAAGGCGTCTCAGGCATTAACGCTCCGCGTCCTCACCATAACGTGTTTCTGACCTTGGACTATCCTTCGTCGTTAATTGGATAAATGGCACACCATTTAAGGTTGGGCCATACTGCGATAATGACATCCTAGTGGTCCCTCGTGCCTCGTACATACTTAGTGTCTTTAATTAAGTGTGGTGGCAGCTTAATGTCGGAATTATAGTTGGAGAGTAACTGTTATGTGTTTATCATGGCTGAAGATGGATCCGGCCATTGATTGTAAGAAAAAAGAGCGATCGTATTTCGTGGCGAGATGCTCGCAGGTTAAAACCATTCAACTAAGCTAACAAGGTAAACTAAGGTATGTCTGCTATTTTTATTCATCTCATGTCAATAGCTAAATCTAACATTATTATTATTTAGGCATTGAATTCCATAATTTCGCGTTTTGAAATTTTTTCAACAAAGATTATTGAGTTAATTTTATATACCTAAATATTTGTTTCTTATTTATTTACTTTTTATGAACTCTATGCTTTAGGGACTTGTTTTTGCATGCAAAGTATAATTTATTTATTTAATAATTTCTATAAAATTATTAACCATGATAAAGATCAGTCAAACTTATCCTACATATTACGAGTTTTAAATGGAATAATGCGTAACCGTAAAATCCCAACATCGTTTTAAATTACTTTACCACTGACTGGCACTTACCAATGTTCCACGGCTGCAGTAGCGCCCACGTTCATACACAACGACCATAGTACACGCTCCTTTCACTTCTAATGAAAATGGCCTCAAATAATATCATAATTAAAACACGGCGCTCTCCAAATATGCATATCGTTCGTGTTTCCCGCCGAATGTCCCGTTTCGGTTTTATCTCGTTTAAACGCCGCCCGAGTTTGGGCAAAGGTAAGTTTTTACGAGAGCCTAAATTCGGAGCGCGCTCGCCAGGAGAAGTATAATATTTAATCTTGATGTGTGTAAATATTGAATAAATTTGTGTCACTCAGTGTTTTTTCCGAATTAAACAGCTGAAATTTTGTTTTGATCGCTTGTTCAACATATTTAGGCGGATTTCTTGCGCGGTATGTGTTCTTCGCTTCTTTTTTGTGTTGTAACGTGAATCCATGAAGGCCTTGGGCCTAAATTTCACATGACAAATGACTCTAAAATTTATTTGGTCATTGCCAAACTATCCCTAATGCTTTTTAGACATTTTTATTTACCTTTAGTGTTAACAGTATATCTTTTTTTAAAAAAATAATTTATCGCAGTGTTGTGTATATTTCTTTCAGTTCTTATTCTATCGTAAAGTTAGTAAAGTTTTGCAAAGTTTTGCAATTAAACAATATTTTGAATATTTGAACACGAGATGTCGCCTTTGCTTCTACCAAATCTGCCGCTTAGCTCAGTCGATTAGAGCGTCAAGTGGTATTCGAATCTCACAGACAAGAAAATTTCACTCTCAACAATGAAAGCTCAGTTCAGTTTTTTTATATCGAAAAAAAAAAAAGAACTATAACGATTTAGTTAATCAACAACAGAGGGGGACAGCACCTACGGTACAATCATGTGTCGTTCCCTTCCAATAATATCTACAGTAATTGCCAGCAACAAAAGTGTCCGCGTAAGTCGGTTCAAATGACAGAAATTATTCTAAGAAGAGCTAAAAAGTTTTGGCGTCTGTAGAGTTCCGTAACCAAAAAGTAAAACGGGACTGTATTACGTATTCTCCGCTGTCTGTCTGTCTGTTAGCCCGTCTGTCACCAGGCTATATCTCATGAACGGCGATAGGTAGGCAGTTAAATTTTTCACAGATGATGTATTTCCATTGCCGCTATAACAACAAATACTTAAAAACAGAATAAAAACATATCTAAGTGGGGCTCCACCCATACAACAGACATGATTTTTTGCCTTTTTTATAGATAATGGTACGGAACCATTCGTGCGCGAGTTCGACTCGCACTTGGCAGGTTTTTGACCGAGGCGAACGCGTTTACGACGGCGAGGCAAAAGGAAACAGTATATAGCGCGCCCCGCGTATTAAGTGGGACTGCAGTTCTAACACGTACTAGAAGCCTGCTGCTCTATCGGCTTTCAGCGAAGCTAGACGAGCATGGTCGCGAATTCCCCGAACCGCGAACTCCCATCACGGACGGAATATCCACCGAAAAACCATTCTCAGAAACGCCACAAAAAGTCGAACCGACGCTACGCGTATTGTCATTCTGCACTCGTACAATATAATAATACAATTAATTCCGTTTGTCGCATCTGATAGATAGTGCGGCCATCGCTGCCGTTCGGTGTGCCGGGCTCTTATTTATGCAGCGTTAGGGTTGAGTTTCGCGCGTTTTAAACGCAAAGGCGTGTTTGTTCGACTATATATGAGATTGCTAGAGGGCCGATGCGACTTGGGAGGTTGTCCCGGAGGAAAATCAACAGTTGCGCAGATTTGTTCCTTCTGTGTTCGTGTCGCAATAAATATCATTTGTCATGACTTAAGCTTATATCTTAATGGGGTGAAACGATAAGACAAGTATATATTTTAATAAAAAAGAACTATTGAAATTGTACATCATCAAAGTAAATCGTTATTCTCTATTCATTATCTCATAAATTGGTTTTTTGTTGGAACGCTATAATTTCTGTAATTATTCATCAAATTTAATGATTCACAAAAACATTTTAAAGTTTATATTTGCCACCATTGG